CTCTGCAACCCCATTTTGAAAGGGAGAATATGGGCTGGTCTTCCTATGAAAAATGCCTGTGTTTCTCAGCCAAGTTTGAAACCTTTCTGACATAAATTCAGACCCTCTATCTGTCTGAATTTGTGCTACTTTTTTATCAAAACATTTTTCCACATAGGCTAATCAATTTCTGAAATGATTGAACACTTCTGATTTGTTTTTCATCAAGTAACAAAATGCATATCTTGTAAAATCGTCCACAATGACTAAAACATATTGCGCACCACCCATAGATGGTGCAAAAGGTCCAATTATGTCTGCATGAACCAGCTGAAAAGGTCGCTGTGTCTCATTAGTATGCTCCCTTGGTCTTGGATTAATCTGAGATTTTGCCAGTTTACAAATATTACAGTCCAGATAGTTTTTACATGATTTTACTTTCACACCCTTAGCAAAACTTCCCATTTTCTGTCTTACTCTGAAATTTGCATGCCCCAGCCTTCTATGTAACGGATGTGCACATTGATTATGAAAAGGGTACGTTCCTAATCATATTCTGTGCCACTTTGTTCTCCTTTAGTACATATAAATTATTTTCTAGTTTTGCTGTGGCACAAATCTCATTTCCTTTCTTAATTGTACATGTGCTGTCAGCAAACATCACTGTATAGCCTTCTTTATCAAGCTTAGAAACACTAAGTATGTTACAATCAATTTTGGGAACTAACAGAACATTTTTAAACTCTTTTTTCAAACCTGGCACAAAAACATGTCCTTCTCCAGTCACAGGAGATCGTTCTCCATTTTCCAAGGTCACAAAGCTGTGTTCTGAAGCTTCTAGAAAAGAAAACAATTTCCTATCATTAGTTAAATGAAAAACAGCTCCACTGTCCAGGATCCAAGTAGCTGTGACCTTGGTCTTATCAGCAGCTGCCTGCACAAGAAAAATACTCCCTTTTCTCTCAGTTTTATTTCTCCTGCTGGAGGGTTGTAAGCAGTCCTTCTGAAGATGTCTCTGAGAATTACAGATGAAGCAGCGTTACACTGCAAATGTCTTGTTTTCTTGTTCTCCCCTCCTGAAAGCAGTCCTCCTTTGCTGTGGACTGTATTGTCTCCTTTTCTCTGGGCTGTCATGTTTCCTTCTATCTTCCGATCTTCCTGCTGAATTATGAACATAAATTTGTTTCAGCGTGTCCCAGCATTCTTTTGCTGAAGTCAGTCCACCTACGTGAGTCAGTTGGCTGTCTTCTAGGCAAAGAATGATTGTAGATAGAGCTTTCTCATTTTTCCTTTGTTCCTCCTCATCTAGGGCAGCAGGGGGATTGCTTACTATCTCCCACAATTCCTCCCCTCTCACGAACATCTCAGCTTTCACCATGTCTGGTAGTTATTTTCATTCAATCTGGTTACAGGAAAACCTCCCATACTGGCAAACGGCTGCATTTTGCTGTTTTTCTCTTGGTCCTCCATTTTTCTTCACCCCCTGGGCTATAAAAGGCAGAACTCTCACTTTCCTGAACTCTCTCTTGCCTCTCTGGTACCCACTGGTACTCACCGGCTTCCTTGACGCAACGCAGGTATCGCAGGGCGCAGTGCTGGTCCCATAACCTTCTGTCAGCGTTTCTTAGCGCAAATTGTGGTTTTAGCAGAGTGATTCGCAGTCCAGAAATAACTCACACACAGTCCAGCAGTATTTCCTTCAGCAATGTGTATTTACAGCAGTATTTACAGCATTCTGGCAGCATAATGTGCAGAAGTGATCTTCAAGCAGGAGGAAGATACAGGTGACTGTACAACTAACACACATATATATAACACATACAGGACCAATCAGATCACAGATTGCATCATCCCTGAGTTGCATCATCCATGTGTTGCATCAGCACTGCTGAGTCATCCTGACTCGGTTTTAACACACCTGATCATTATGGCTTCTCATTAATACACTCCATTCTGCTTAGGCCTGTAATTTTCCTTGACAAACAGCACCCTCCCAAAATGCAATTACAGCCTCTTCCACTGGCAAACTGTGGCAAATTCTAAAAACTTCACAAAAACTAAAAACTTCTTTGGAACAACTTGCCTGTAGCGATTCGCCTGGCTCCCTCTCTGGGTGTCTTTAGAAGCAACCTTAAGACATGACTATTTGAGCAGGCTTTCCGTAATGCTGTATCTTTTTATTTTATTTTATAACACATATGGACATACAAAACCAACAAAAAACACTTGCTTTGCATGAATACAACTCCAAAATAGAAGACAATTTTGGACAGTTTCTACAGATGGTTTCCTCATTAGCAGATATGAACCAGGAATACCAGCTTCCACTTTCAGAACTCAGTAAGCAGGAATGGTTATATTTCAGTGTAATCAAACAAAAACAGCAGGCTTCCCAGTGGTGTGCGGCATTTTAGAGAATAGTGGTGCCTCGCAAGACGATTGCCTTGCGGGACAATTAATCTGCAGGACGATTGGTTTTTGCGATTGCTGGTGTGCTTCGCAAAATGATGTTTTCTATGGACGAT